AGGGGGGAGGTGGGAGCTGGTAGGTGGGGGGGGGTCTGTGGGCAGGGAAGGGTCCCCATAGACCCCAGCTGGGGGATGGGGGTTGGAGCTGGAAGGGCTGTCTGTGGCTGCCAGCAAGGCAGTGGGTGTTGCTGGGGTGGACAGAGGGTGCCACTGTGGATTGGGAACAGCCAGGCATGGCTCTATTTGCTGTGCTCCCTCTTTCTGCACCCCTTCCCCTGGTCCAAAGGTTACCCTGCAGAATTGGGTCCGTATCCCGTTTCTGCCCAGTGCTTTATTCTGCTTGCCTTGCAAGTGAAGGGTTTACTGCTGATGGGGGTTGTGTTTCTGTTGTTTTCATTTTGGCTGTTTTGTTGTGGCTTTTTTAGGGATTTTTTTTCTTTTTGGTGCGGTGGGCATACTCTATGCGCAGAATTTTTAGGTTCTGTAAAGCTTTTGCGAGGGCTTTGCCTTTTGGGGATTTGGCAGCTTAACTTCATCTCCCACAGAGATCACCCACAACAGTGGAGTCAGTTGATTGGAGACCCCTTAAGCGAGATCTGTTGATGTAACTGATGTTCCTCACTTTAATCAGCAATTTACAAATCTAATAGAAGGTTAGAGGTGCACCAATCCATGTCGGATCCACACCTATGAAAGGAAAATGACATTATTGACAATCAGCTGTTTTTGGCTGATGAATGTTGCATGCATGCACACAGCTGCAGCATAAATGCAGGCAGCTTGGAAAGCAGTGTCTTGCTGGTAAGTCTGTTGGGGGGGGGAAGGAGGGAAGGTATGTGGGGAGGGGCAGATAGAGGGGGCCCCCCCAATAAAGGAGTGGGGCTGGAACAGGGGCTGGTGCTGCTCAGCTAAGGTGCAGGATGGAGCTGTGAATGGCTCATCCAGGGGGTGTGGAGAGGAGGGGGCAGCTCCTGGTGCTGTGCACACCCCAGGGGAGGCATGTGCGTGGCCCCCCCCGCACATAGGGGGAAGGTGGGCTGCTGCTGCAGGCTGGGGCAGCACTGGGCCCTCCCTGGCAGGGTGTTTGAGCTGGGGCTGTGCTTGGGGTAGGTGGCTGTGGCACTGGGAACAGGGCTATTGGGGTGAGGGTGCTATGGTCACCCCAAAATTTGCTGTAACCCCCTCCCTTGTAGCTCCCCCTTCTAGCATCACTGCTGCATGCCCGAGTGCAGCCCCAGTCCACCCCCCCACCCCCCCGCTGGGAAGAGCCCACTGCTGCCCCAAGCCCCAGCCAAGGGATACATTCCAAGACCTCGACTGTACTGACCCCCAGACCCACATCTGACACGTTTACAAGACAATTTTGGTACTCGCCAACACATAATGGGAATGGCAACTGCAGAAACACGGGTTGCAGACAATGAGTGAGGAGCACAGATCCACACAGAGACTATTTTGGTGCGCATCACTCCCACAGTGCACCACACAAAGCAGCTGACTGCAGGCTTCCACCACACCCATCACATCAGAGTGAATTTACCTCGCATGTAACAAATGTCAATATAAAAAGGGTCATTGCATAAGAGCGAATTCATGCATAAAGTGTGGGAAACCTGTATTAGCAATCAGATCAGTATTGGCTGTTCTGACTCGTTAATAATCGGCCATCAGTATCAACCCAAAAAATCTTTATTGGTGCACCCCTAATAAAAGGAGTCATTATCTGAACTTGGCTTGAAGTCTATGTATACCTGTATTGGTTAGAAGATGTTTAAAAGGAGCTGCTGAAAGCTGTATAAGGAATAACTGTGTATATTAAGAGCTTAGTTGTCTTGCACTATAAATTGTTCTTTGTTAAAGATAAATGACAGGACTTCAACCTGCTTGTCCCACATTTAATGTCTTAACTCGTCTTTGTTTGCTCTTAAGGTTTTTATTGACCCGGTTAAAGGACTTTTGTGGAGAGTTTCTGAAGAAAAAGCTAAATCTTTCCAACTGTGTAGCTATCCATAGCTTGGCTCATATGTATTCCCTGAGTCAGCTTGCTCTGAAAGCTGCAGACATGATAAGGAGGAATTTCTTCAGAGTTATCCAAGATGAAGAATTTTACACCTTACCCTTTCACCTCATTCGAGACTGGCTTTCTGACTTGGAAATCACAGTGGACTCAGAAGAAGTTCTTTTTGAGACCGTCTTAAAGTGGGTTCAGAGGAGTCCTGATGAAAGAGAGAGGTACTTTGAAGAACTCTTTAAATTGCTTAGGTTGTCTCAGATTAAACCCACTTACCTGACCCGTCATGTCAAATCTGAAAAGCTGGTGTTCAGTAATGAAGCTTGTCTTAAATTAGTGTCTGAAGCTGTGGAAAGTCATGCTCTGAGGTGTGAGAACTTGCAGTCTGGTAACTTGCAACATTCTGCTTGTCCTGTAGCCTTGTTGCCTCGCTATGGGCAAAACATGGATGTCATCATGGTGATTGGCGGTGTGTCTGAGGGAGGAGATTACTTAAGTGAGTGTGTAGGTTACTTCATTGATGAAGACAGGTGGGTAAACTTACCACATGTACATAATCATCTCGATGGACATGCTGTTGCCATTACAGAATCATATGTCTATGTGGCTGGCTCCATGGAGCCAGGATTTGCAAAGACTGTGGAAAGATACAACCCAAACAGAAATATCTGGGAGCAGGTCTCTAACTTAATAATCAGAAAGCATTCTTTTGGACTAACTGAAGTCAAGGGAAACTTGTACAGCATTGGTGGGCATGGCAACTTCAGTCCTGGCTTTAAAGATGTAACTGTTTACAATCCTGAGCAAGACAAATGGCACAACCTGGAGTCTGCACCAAAGATTCTTCGTGATGTCAAAGCAGTGGCCATAGAAGATAGATTTGTTTACATTGCTGCTCGCACGCCAGTTGACAGTGATAATGAAGATGGTCTAAGGGCAGTCATCATCCGCTATGACACGGAAACAAGGCAGTGGCAAGATGTAGAATCTCTGCCCCTCATTGATAACTATTGCTCTTTCCAGATGTCTGTTGCCAACACAAACTTTTACCACACTGCGTCCTGCTGCCCCAAGAGTTACCCTATTGACAATGAAGAGGCTAAAAAAAAAATCTCTAGCAGACCATCTGACGAGATTCTTGAAAGCTTACCTCCAGAGGTCCTCAGTATTGAAGGGGCAGCTATTTGTTATTATAAAGATGATGTTTTCATCATCGGTGGGTGGAAGAATAGTGATGATATAGACAAGCAGTACAGGAAAGAGGCCTATCGCTACTGTGCTGAGAGGAAGCGGTGGATGCTTCTCCCTCCCATGCCACAGCCTCGCTGTAGAGCAACAGCCTGCCATGTGAGAATCCCATTCAGATGTCTGCATGGAACCCAAAAGTACCCTATGCCACCAAACTTGATGTGGCAGAAAGATAGGAGAAGGCAGATGCAAGAAATACACCGCCATTCTTTAAGCCTGCGAAGAATGCCACGCTCTCAGATTGAGTGCTAACTCAAAGATCACTCGTTTTAATATGCCTTGGTTAAGAAATATCACGCTGTCAGTTTTGTAAGGCTCAGTACATTGCTACAATACATTAGGATGTTGGTAACTGAAATTGGCTTGGTTTGATGCATGAAAGCAGTATCCATAATTTGTATTTAAGTACTGAGGATTAAGAAGTGTCAACTTTGAAGATGACAAGCAGTTAACATGTCTAGAGATCTCTATATTGTTGAAACAAGCATAGGGTAGCTCAGGATAACCGGTTTCCCATTAAGGGGATATGTAAAATTTATCCCTGACACTTTAAAAATGTGGAACCTGCTAATTCTGTCTGCAAACTGCTCCCCCGGCCCTCCCCCCTTCAGTTTGGGTAAAAGATTTAAAAATTTCATTTGGATGTGTGCTTGAAGCACTAATTTTATTTGCACTTACATTATTGGTATTCCTTTACATTCTTTCATGAGCAGCTAACCTTCACATACAGTTGGTTTCTATGCACTTAGTTCTCCAAAGTTGGAGGCATGTGCAATAGTTTAGGAATACTTGCATATAAAATTTAAAGCACAATCTTTCTTTATAAAATGATATCAGGATGTTTCTATATGTATTAAGTATTTTATATCTGTATATTGTAGAAATGCTACAGAGCTTACTTGGAGATGATTGGTAGATCAGAAACTTGTTAAAACAGGAAATATGAGGCAGTAAAATCATTCCAGGTGTTATCTGGAGATGCCTCTGTTTTTTGGGTCTTTAAGCAGATTCATTAGAAACTTGAGCAAACAATCAGCCTGAATAAATGAATGAAAACAGTAAAATGTTCAACAGTTCAGGCTAACTGTCCACTTCTGAAATCTCTGTGGAAATTGGGAGTTACTTAGAGCAGAATTATTTCACAGCACTATATTAAAGACTAGCTGCTTGAAACTTTTTTTCCAAACATAGCACACACTTAATTCTAGTCAACATTTAAAAAAATGTGAACCTGTATCCAGCCTGCCTTTGACAATCAGTACTCCTTTGCCTTCAAGATATTCTCCCTTTAAGTTTAAACTAGCCATGCCACACCGTTTCTTCACAAATTAGCATTTATGTTTTCTGTTGATGTAGAACAGTGGTTCTTAATGTGTAAATGCTGATGGGAAGCTTTCAGCAATTTTCCTGCATATTGTATTGCAGCATATAGCTGCTTGTGGTGAAATAAGGGTATTTAATATTTTTTTGAAGTTCTGAATTGATTTTACATAAATTGGTGCCCATAACGTGCTCTAAGGAAAGTAGCACTGTTCCAGGGGGATAAAGCTGCCAATAAATAGCTGTTCCATTGGGCACTCCATTCCCCTTCTCTGAAGAACTCCAGAAAGCTTCTCAATTTATTACTTGTGGGTTCTGTGCTTTCTTCTTACTTCATCTTCTTCCCAGTCCTTCCCTTTATTTGACTGTTCCAGTTTTCTGCTTTCAGTCTAACTCAGGATCTTAGGGAAGGGAAAGGTAGGGGTAAACCAGGGTGTTCTAAAAGCTTGCATAGACTAACATTGCTGGAAAAAAAGATTCTTACAGACTTCTGTTTGTGCTGGTGTTGCTAGTGTCTTAAATGTGGGCAGCTGCTGTAGAAAGCACTTGTAAACGTTTTGGCCTTCTTAAATTGTTTAACGTTCTCAACTGATGTATCTCATTTTCCAATTCAGCAGGCAACCTAGGTCATATCTGAAACGTTGGGTAAGTGTTTCAACTGCATGATGTGCATAGTTTTTTCTGACTTGCTTATGTCCCCTAATATTTCATCTTGCAAACCACATGGACATTTTTGTACAGATAACTTGCCTTGGTATAATATTCAGAATGGTCCAGTCTTGTAAAAATCTTCACGAAAATGTAATAGCCCAGACCCCATCTAGTCACCTGCTGTTACCGTGTTATTTCATTTGGCTGTCAAGCTACTCTTCAAAAGCAAGTAGAGTTTTGCAAGGCTGGGCTAGCTTGTTTAAAAGAGGAACTAGTTAGCTTATTCAGGTGTTTTAAGGCTGACATTCAGAAGTGGTAGGTTTGGGAAACTGCACAGACTTATTTGGTAAGATGCTAATTAATGGGGGCTCCACAGAATTAATAAGGCATTTGGGGAATAAGAAATTCAGTAATATCATTTTAATTTGAATCTGAGCTAAATACTTGATTGCATATCACTGCAGGTTCATCCAGGTTAAAGGATGAAGAAGTCAACCTGTTGCAATATTTTTGGGTAAAATTTAAAGTTTAAATATTTTTACTTTTAATGAAATAACTTTTGGGGTTTGTATCGTTTTACCATTTTGCTAGAGGCATTGTTCTTAAAAGAAGATCTGAAAATAATGATAGGGTGGTTTAACTTGTGAAAGTCAGCCATGGTCAGTTATGTAAATGATGCACTTTATCTTACCTCCTTGTGTGTTCAGTTTGCATGGTGAGTGGTGGATACAACAGTGCACAGTCAGCTTCACTCTAGCTTTTGCTATGCCAATTCCCAGGGAATTCTTCCTTTTTAAATAGGTTTCTTTACCTTGGTTTTAAGTGGACCAATTTTTATTGCACGTTACCTTTAACCAAAAGGCCTAACTACCCATTTTCACCATGTAGATGTTTGAAAAACTTAAATGTGTATTGACTGGATGTAGCTTAGTCCACTAACCTGTCAACCATTTAACAAGCTCCTTGTAGCCTTTGATTAGTGCAGCATGGTGGTACATGTGAAGTGTTCCTATAAGAAAAGTCTGGGGACTGCTCTGCTATGGTTAGTGGCTGGTTAACTTCTGACAAGTCCTACGTCTGTGTTGAAGAAGCAAAACTCAACTGAATTCTTAATGCAAGAAAAAGAGAAAAACAGTGGAAGGAAGGGTCAGACTCCCATGTGTTCAGACAATCATACATTTTTAGCTGTCATAAATGTGCCATGAAATGCATGTCCTGTCCTGTCCTATCTTTGTGTTCATACTGCTAGTGAAGTAGGGTAAATCTCTGACCAGCACTACACTGACAATATATATAATCATCTCTAGGTGCCATGTGCATACACAATATTTTATAACAACCCGAGTAGCCTCTTTAATAAGCTATTTTATATGTATTTTTAACAAAACTTCTGCTCAAACGAGTGCATGAAAAACTACTCCAAAATTTAGAATGCATACCATCTTTCTTAATAGCTATTCAGAACCTTCTGAATGGGGATCGATTAAGATACTACAACTGCTTATTGTTATCCCCATTTCATTTTTTCCACTATAGCGAATGGCAAACAGGAACATGATTGTGTCAGTCTGTGTTTGAGCAAAGATTGCAGATTAACAAAATCTAAGAGCCTTTTAACCAGAAACTGTAGTAATGTCTTCTACCATCAGAATGATTTGCAAAGGACCCAGTTAAAATGAGCATTGTGTGACTTAGTTTTATTTTCAGGCGCCTTCAATATGCTAGAACACAATCATTTTTCAAATGTTATGAGTTTGTGGAAGTCTCTTAATACAGGCACTTCTGATAATGTAATCTTATCTGTAACATGAATTTAAATGGTAGAAATTGCTAGATGTTTGAAGATGGTTAACAGTCAGATTCCTTAGTGGATCCATGTCACTGTGGATCACAAGACTTGCAGGCAGCTGTACTTTTCTATCAGTTTTGCTGGAGGTTTCAGCTAGTTGCTTGGATAAGCAGTACCTCCTGTACTGGGAAGAATGACATCCTTTCCAGTAACGTAAAGTAGTGTTTGTATAGGACTGCTTGAAACAAAAGACCTTGTAATAAAGTTCACGCTAAATATACCGTACTAATGTTTTGTTGTAATAAAGTACAAAATAAACCTTTTATTTCTTTATCACTGTTTAGTAGTGTGGTTTTGTTTTTTTTTTCTAACAGTGATATTTAAGGCTGTAGCCTGTGTTTGTAAATTAGACCTTTTTGGTTCATAGAATGAAACACTTTTTCAGCACTATTTCTGTGAACTCTGTATCCCATTACTTTTATTTTAAAATAAGTAGATACATACACTTCGTGCTTAGAAGGCTTTATTCGCTAAGTGGAGCTATTTATACTGGTAGGGTACTTGTCGAAGAAGAGTACTTAACTTCGTCTCGTGATGATCCTGCGTAGTTTTCTCTTCTGGCAGCATACTCCCCAACATTAGGCAATCCTGGCACCACGCAGCAGCTCAAAGCACTACGGTATATACTCATGTCATGGGCATCGTACCACTCATCAGTCTTTTCATCATAGCATTCGACATTGAATGTGGTAGTGAAACCATTAAAGCCACCAACCACGAACAGAAGGTCATCCACCACCTCAATGCCAAAGTTACTACGGGGATTAAACATGGTGGGAATTGTACGCCATGTGTTAGCAATTGGATTGTAGGCTTCTGCGCTCCGAAGACGGTTGGCTCCGTCAAAGCCACCTACCTGTATATATAGGAGAAATCGAGAGTTTACAGTAGGGAAAATGCATGTTAGGCAAGTGAATTTTTATGCAGGTTTTAGGATTAGAGTTGTTCTGTTTGGTTGGATAAACTTTTGGGTGTATGCAGCTCCTTTTGATTTCAGCACTTGGGTACTCAGCACTTCTGAAAATCATCCTTAATTACCTATGTTTGCTTATTGCAGCCTGCTGTTTTATTTGTAATTATGGAAAAAAGCCTTTAGCTGCCAAAACCACTCTGGAATTCAGAGGAGTAATCAACAGATATGTGCCCTGGGCAAACCGTGCTGGAGAGCAGGAGTGAGGTGGAGAGAAGGGTGATTGGTCTTATTTGCCCTGGGGTCTCAGAGACCACAGCTGCTGCTGCCATGTTGCTATCTGTCCCCTCTTGGCAGCTGCATGGTGTCCTTGCATCTAGCTGCTACTGCTGCAAAGCAGGGCTACTACGATTCTGGCAAAGAATTCCCAGCGGTGCTGTCATTCCAGTGCTCCTAGCTAGTGCCACACTTGTCCACCCCTAGTTATGCTACTGCTGAAATTAGCCTTTTACCCAATGTAACTGTACGTCTTGTCATACTCTTACAAGAGTTATACTCTTACAATAACTAAGTAAAATATCTTAATTCCTGGAACCAACTGAAGAGAACTCTTAAGGTGGGGAGACTAAGCACTCTTTAGAAATAGCAACTTTGTGTTTCTCATATGTGCTGCAGTAGTTTCTAATTGTCCCCCATTAGGTCAAACGCATCTTGGCTATCTGCTGACTTATATGTAGTTGCTTGAAGTAATTCTCACTTGTATGAACTAATCCGCTGGTTTTCAAGCAGTGTTCAGTGGAACATTGGGGTTCTGCAACAGGTCATCAGAGGTTCTGCAAAGAGATTGGGGATAGTGGTGGAGTGGGCTGGGAGGTGGTATGCAGCTATTGCTGGACTGGGTCACCTGACTACATCAGCCTTTAACATAAGGGTAGTTGTTCCACAGCAGATGTAGTGACACAAAAGGGTTCTGTGGCTTCAGAAAGTTTGAAAACCACTGAACTAATCCCATTGTCTTTGATCTATAAATATATGGGGATTGATTTCAGTAACTGTCGGTACCCGATTTTTGTCTTCTGCTGGCATTCACTTTTCTTTTCGATGGGGATCGAACAGTTGAACTATATGGGCTACTTAGTTATACGGGGTATTTTAGGTAACAGCCTAGAAAATAAGGCAGCAGACTGCAGGGTTGTGTTCTGTTAATCCAGCTGACACTTAATTTCCAAACTTCTACTTCCCCAGCTTGTTCATCTGTAATGTTACAAAAATGCCTTTTATATTTGCAAAAGAAATTGCATCCATACCTTTTGATGCACACAGTTTTGTAATGCACTACACCTTTAGATAAAGTTTTAAGAGAACTTTCTTTACTGTATTTAAAGACTATTATATTGCATATGAATACAATTTAAATGCTTAATTTTGAAGCCCCCATGCATTTTTTTATTAATGGAACCCAATAAGGTTTTGAGACAGTAAGACTCATGTAGAACTAATTAGGCAAGTAACTTTACCCTTTTCCATGATTGTTGCACACTTGGTTTACTGAGGCAAGGATCTGTGCTGAGTCCAAAAGCATGGCAGATGCTCTTAAGATCCCTTTTTCATTTAATTCCAACTTTCCAACTCTGGTTGAAGTAGCAGTCTTCTGCACACTGTCGTATTGTTTTTATGCAGCACATAGCTTAAAATAAAGCCTGACTAGGGTGTATCCAGGAATTGTACTACAAGTATTATAACTTGGAGATTATTTAATGTCTTCTGTCCAATGAAAAACATTCTCCATTGAAGCTAGTTTCTTTCTAAACTTTATTTCCAGGTTACAGCTTTAATATTTTGCAAGGTTTTTAAGAGGGAAAAATGTAATGTACCCTCAATCGGTTAATAACTTTTGTCTAAACTTGCCTTCCTAAATCTCTGTTGGAGAGCTGGCCTGGACAGCCTCCTTCCAGAAGAGTAAAGTTAGGAGAACTGTTTTGGCAATGTCAAGGTGAGATCCAGAAATAAGCTATATCGTAGAACTTAAGAACACTGTACCACCTGCAGTCAGACCAGTGGTCTGTCTAGCCCAGTATCTGGCAGTGGCAAGTAATAGATACTTTAGAGGGAGAGGTATATAAATGGGCATGTTTGAAGAAGTTCATACCCTGTCATACTCTCCCTGCCATCAACCGTCATTGATTTTAGGGATGCCAGAGAATATATCCCTGATTGTTCTGTCTAATAACTCCTAAAGTGCTTGTCTAATCCTTTTCTGAATCTGGTTACGCTGTGTACCTCTACAATCTCCTGTGGCAGTGAGTGCCACGAGTTAACTACCTGCTGTGTATGGGGGGAGGAGGGCCTCCTCTTGTTTAAGTTTTAGTGGGTGTCCTCTAGTTTTCATATGCTAAGACTTGATGAATAATAACTCTTAGGTCTCTCTCCTGAGTGCCCACTAGCTAGTTTAGAGCCTAGCATGGTGTCTGTCTGATGGAAGTTATTTTCCCCCATATGCATTACTTTTCACTTGCAAACATTAAATTCATATGCCACTTTGCTAATCATAGTTTCATAGTAGCTAGGGTCAGGAGGGACCTGAACAGATCATCTAGCCTGCCCCCCTGCCAGCTAAGACTTGATGAATAATAACTCTTAGGTCTCTCTCCTGAGTGCCCACTAGCTAGTTTAGAGCCTAGCATGGTGTCTGTCTGATGGAAGTTATTTTCCCCCATATGCATTACTTTTCACTTGCAAACATTAAATTCATATGCCACTTTGCTAATCATAGTTTCATAGTAGCTAGGGTCAGGAGGGACCTGAACAGATCATCTAGCCTGACCCCCTGCCACAGGCAGGAATGAATGCTGGGTTCAGAAGACCCCAGACAGGTGCTCGTTCAACCTCCTCTTGAATTTGCCCACGGTAGGGGTGAAGACCACTTCCCTGGGAAACTGATTCCAGATTTTAGCCACCCTAACGGTAAAATATTGCTTTTTGGTCTCTAACCTAAACCTATTCTCCATCAGCTTATTACCATTGTTCCTTGTCACCCCAGGTGGTGCTGGGGAGAAAAGGGCTCTGCCTATTTCCTGTTGATCTCCCCTGATGAGTTTTTAGGCAGCCACCAGGTACCCCCTCAGCCTCCTCTTGCTGAGGCTGAACAGGTTCAGGTCCCTCAGTCTCTCCTCATAGGGCCTGTCCTGCTGCCCTCTCTCCAAGCGGGTGGCCCTCCTCTGAACCCTCTCCAGGCTGGCCACATCCCTTTTGAAGTGTGGTGCCCAGTACTGGACGCAGT